GCGGCAGTCATAGTGTCAATGTTTCTGTGCAGAGCTTTGAGCAGTTGCTGTGTTCGAAACTCCCTCACTAGGATTCCCCTGGCATTCCCCTCATCTCCGTTATCGATGGGTCTTTGAATTTCCAGAGGCGAGATGTCAGCTTGATGCCACTTTCAACAGCTTATTGCCTGCTCCATGATGTTTAAGAAATGATTGTAGGGAGGAAGTATTTTAAGCTCCATGTTTGGGGCGGGAATGACCAGGTTTCAGTGGGCGGGTGCTCTGTCATACACAAAGATCACCTCCTCATCAAGATCTGGATTTGTCCTTGCCTGTGCCAAGAAGTTATCAAACCATGTGGCATTAATTTCGCCGACAGCTGCTGAAGAAAACACAAGTCCATTGATAGGTGGAATTGCCATGGTCACGGTCAAGTTTTGTCCATGCTGGCCGCACACTTGACGGTATGCTCTCTGTTCCTGTAATGCTTTACCGTGGCTTCTGGCCATCCAGATGTTGTAGCCGCATTCATCAACAAACACACAGTGGCACATTACGGCATGGTTCCTAAATCAAGTGGTGTAATCGACTTGCTTGTTCAGCACATAAGTCTGTTTCTGTCAGCAGGAAGGGGCCTCGCAAGTTTCATTCAGAAGAGCATCCTGTCTATATAATGTCCTTGTCATGGTGCAGTCATGGATCACAGGTTTGAGTGGTAGTTTATCCGAGTAAGTGCGAGTAAACAGTTTTTGTTGATGATTTCCTGTTGGCAATCTCTCATCTTATCATCCACATACACCTTGTTTCTACCTCCATGTGATCTCTCCTGGATCCTACCCTCTCTGATGTAGCGCGCTTCAATGCCTCTTGCCGTTGATTGGTTCACTCCAAGTGAGTCCACGACCACAAGATAATCTTCCTCCTTGTCCTCAAATCCTCTCATATTTCTCTCTCGGTGTTAGAGTAGTATTCGGTTTCTTCGAAGGGAATTAACTGGACGAACTCTACTGAATGTAAATTCAGGCAAAGTCAGTGTTCAGGTGAAAATCACTACTTGCATATTGAATATAAAAAACACTGAACTGTTTGTATAAGTGCATTTAATAATTGTCTTATACTAATGCCATCCAGTAATGCTATTGAATTGCAAACAGTGTGATAAAAATGTTATTAAATGGTTCATGCACTTTATTGTTTGTGTATTTTTCAACATTGGTATTTATTTTAGACAATAGAGAGATGATCTATTGACAGGAATACTCTATAATTAAAACACTAAACTACTAAAAACTAAAATTTCTAGTATTAAATTAACATTAAAGCTAAATGGGCTATTTACAATTTAGGAAAAAGGTCACTACATAATTTAAACTAAAAATAAAAACTAGAAGTAATCTTGTGCTTATATAAATGGAGAATTTACAATAAGGCTGGTAAACTATTTACTAAAACAAAAAGGCTAAAGGCCTAATTACCGAAATTCAATACAGAAAAGGGTTTACAAATTATGAAATTATTTCACAAAAATAGGTCAGCAGCTGTACAATTTACTTTAAAATCCTCTACGACTTCACTTCTAAAAAAGGGCTGGCGCGATCCTCAGATGCTAGTATTTATAGACTTGAATATTTCGAAAGAAATCCTGGTCCTGAGCCAGCTAATAACAAATGGGTAACCTTCAACGTCCTTCTCTGCCAATTTCTCTGCTAAATGTTTTATAAACATTTTGCATTCTTCGCCCATCCTGCCGTTGTTTGTGTATTGTCTCTATTGACTTTCAAGATGGTGTAAATGACTTGAATGTTAGTGCAAATGAAAGTCTTTTTCTCTTTTGTTTGATGAATGATGCATAAGAATGCCTATAATTGTTATTGAATGCTGATTAAAATGCAAAAATCGTTATTGAATCTTGTTTACATGCAAATAACAGTTTTTTGTCTCTAATAGTTGTATTTTCACCCAACTGTTTGCCTTTTAATGCAAATGAATGTGTATTTTCTCTTAATGAACAGCAAAAGGTGTATTGTGGACTATTCCTTTCCTTGCCCATTCCCTTGTATATTTTTTTTTTACAAAATGTTACATTTTGACCGGTTTTAAGATGACTTTTTATTGTGTATCAGACAAAAAACAGATTAAATTCTCAGTCTGCTCTTTGTACCTAGTCTGCAATCTACATTTTGTACTGACTCAAAAATTTAGTTGCATTATTTGTGCCTGCATTATAATTTACAGGTAGCCCAAAGAAAGGATTATGAACAACACTGATTAAATAGCCTTTAATCAGCTCAAGCAACGCACACAATGCAAAGAAACAATGACTTAAGTAAGGTAAGTTTTCATTCAAAACTAGAACAGATTTTATGTGGTCGAGAGTGCATATAATACAAATCCTTACAAGTCCTCCACTGTGCAAGCCAAATATATTTGCATATTTACCAAGCTCATTTTGTGAGCCTGGGCTTCCTGTGGTATGAGGTGCAATTTGATGAATTAACTGTGCTTGTCCAGTTGTGACACTTAACAATTGGTTCATGCATCAGTGTATGTTCATTGAGAATTGAAGCACATGGGAAGTTTGTAGAGCATGGAAAATGCATAAGAGTTGCTTGAGATGCAGCCAAGAGCAACTTCAGCTTCTTGTGTGCTCTCCAAACTTTCCAACTACTTTAATTCTCAATGAACACATGGTTGACACATCAACCAATTGTTTTAAAACATTTTCAACACTGTAGTTTATGTGTTAAGGGTAGAAATTCCCTCCTCTACGCTTCAGTACATTGTTTATTTTGTTTTGGAAAAGTATTTTGCTATGCTTTAATTATCTCATCTCAGATTGATCAAAAACTGACAGATGAATTCATGCATGTAAATGAACTTAATTTTCTGATGAAATACGAAATTTTCTCTTGTAAAAGAAAAGCAAAGGTGCAAATGTTTGGTTTAACTTTTTTGTGGAAGTTTTTCCCCTTTTTTTAATGAAAAAATGCTGAAGTCACCTGTGAGAAAAAATTTTTTTCATGAGGCATTTGTTTGCTGATGTCATCAGCATGCACAATGGTAAATTGAAGCATGTTTGCACAATTTAATTTGATGGCTTGAATTTACAAACTATGTTATAATGTTCCTTGAGGGATTTATAATTATCATATTAATCTTTTAAAGCAGATTGTTATTTAACCCTTTACACCTTAACATCAGTATGCATATTCTCTTTACTGTTCTCTACACATTTCCTAAGGTGCTGACAGCAAAAATTTGTGTGCGCATCTTTAGTTGGTGATCATTTCCTTTATTCTCCTGACCTTAATGTGAGATTCAGGGGTTCGGAGCAATTACATGCCAGTCACACTTAGGGATATAAGGGATAATGCTATTATGCAAATTATAAGAACAGAAAGATTTGTGATCAAAGTGGAACGCAATGGCTAATTCTGCACTCTGAGCTGTAACGTTTATTTTTGGTCACTATGTTGGCAATTAGAAAAATGAAATTGCCCACTGAATTTTCAGCCAAAGGCACAATTTCTTGCCCTCATTTAAGCCCTCAAGTAACAAGTTGTATTAGTATTTATGGTTTAAAGTGGGACATAAAATACTATTAATTCTTATTATGCTCAAATGCCCAAAGTGCCAGATTTGATGATTAATTAAATTGTAAAAGGCAAGGTCAGCAACCATTACTTTCATCCCTTTCTTCTGAACCATTTGCTCAGGAAAATGAACTCTTTACCTTTAAATGCCACCTTATTTTGCAAAAAGAAGCCTTTACTGTGTTCTGTTGTGTTTTAAAGCATGCAAGAAGTGACTAGAGATAGATAGACTGTGATATATTAAAATCACCTTGCAGTCTTACAACTGAATTGTGTGAATTTACAACAAATTGTGTGTAAAATGCAAAATGTATCTATTAATTTATCCTAGGTGTAGAGAGTGTAAAAATCCATTTAATTATTTAATCATACATGAGTCAGGGTTCATACAGGTCCTGGAAAACCTGGAAAGTCCTGGAATTTTATTTTGACATTTTCCAGGACTGGAAAGTCCTGGAAAAAGACTGCAGGGTCTGGATAGTCCCGGAAATTTGCTTAAATCAAGCAAGAAAGTTTTCAGAATTTACATTGTAAGAAATGTGTATAGATGGTAAGGAGAATTGGTTTTGAAATGTTGGGAATGAAAGGGTTTAAGGTGAAATTTGGAGTCCCGGAAAAATCAATCTGAGCCTGGAATAGTCCTGGAAAATTCCTTGAAATTTCTTTCAAAAAAAGGGTACAAAACCCTGACAAGAGTGAAACCATTCACCCGGAGAGCACCGAGCAACCATACCACATGATCAGCAATACAAACTATTCAAGATGGGGGCCACTGGAAATTTTAGGTGGAAAATGATAAACAATTAGATTGCTTGGTAAGGCAATTTTTTATGTCAGAAGTAGTAAGAAGTAGATTTGGAACATTTTGGGTGTTATGTGTAAAAATAGTGGAGGTCCCCTTTAAGGACAAGTGGTTTGGTTGTCAAATTGCTGACAACCAGCAGTCCTTTCTTTTTTGTGAAGTCCATTATTAAGTAAAAAAAAATCATTGAAAAAAAATTGGTGTTTGCGCACAGCAGGAACTCTTGAAGTGGCGTGGATACACCACAAGAGCTCCATGAGTGAGGTGCCTACTTTTGGAATGTGATGGACTTTGCTGTAAAGGAGAGACTACCCGTAGTCAAGGAAAAATTGCACTGATTTGTTTTTTCCCCATTGTTTATTCCTTTTCTCTGGCTACAAAAATTATCTTTCAGGCAACCAATAAATGATTTTAGGCCCCTGAGAAAAATGCTGGACTTGGTGCCCTTTGGCAATGATATTATTACTTGCTGAAAATGATTTTGAAATGAAGGGAAGCCTGAAAGTTTCAACTAATGGGCACAAATAAAAGTAATATGTTATACCACTACATTATATATAAAAAAAAAACATTAAATACACTCTTACATACTTGACCACTCTGTCTATAACTGATTAAAACAGTACCTTCAAGAAAACCTTTTAAAGTGCTGCCTTGGCAATCAGGTGGCAAACCATGAAGGAATAGCTTTAATTTCTCAATATGCATTATGTAATACTTGCATTAGAGCTGCACAGTCTGGGGAAGAACATCAACAAAAAATAGAATAAGAGGTACATTACTGAATGACTTGCCAGCAAAAAATTTACAGGAATCTCCTGGCAACTTATATGATGCATGTTAAGACTGAGTGATGTAGTATATATGTTAATTGGTAACATTTAAATGTAAATTCTAAACCTCTGCATTAGTCAAGGAAATTGACAGTTATAAACAACAACTTGTAAAATTTAGGGTCACTATAACTTGATTTTTTTATTTGTTATCTATCGATCTATCTATCTATCTATCTATCTATCTATCTATCTATCTATCTATCTACCCATCGACCTACCTACCTACTATCTATCCATCTATGTATCTATCTATCTATCTATCTATCTATCTATCTATCTATCTATCTATCGACCTACCTACCTGCCTGCCTATCTATCTATCTATCTACCTACCTACCTGCCTGCCTACCTACCTACCAATCTATCTATCTATCTATCTATCTATCTATCTATCTATCTACATACCTACCTATCTATCTATCTCTCTATCGACCTACCTATCTATCTATCTATCTATCTATCTATCTACATACCTACCTATCTATCTATCTCTCTATCGACCTACCTATCTATCTATCTATCTATCTACATACCTACCTATCTATCTCTCTATCGACCTACCTATCTATCTATCTATCTATCTACATACCTACCTATCTATCTCTCTATCGACCTACCTATCTATCTATCTATCTATCTATCTACCTATCGACCTACCTACCTATCTATCTATCTATTGACCTACCTACCTATCTGTTTATCTATCTATCTATCTATCTATCTATCTTGTCAATCAATCCCATTTTCATCCCCTTGTTGTCACTGCCAGCCATCCTAGTGCTTTGCACTGATATCTCTACCTCTTTCTGTGGCCCTAAAGCCATCATTTTAGTTGTGCCACTGTTGATGAGGTCTAATAACACCAAATCAACTGTATGTAAGGCTTCTAATTAGTGGCAGCTAACTTAATGGTTTACTTTTTTCTCTATGACAAAGGTCACACAGTTCTAACTTCACATGCTCCTCCATGCATTGTAATCCAAAAATTTGTAAAAACTTAATATCTGCACCTCTACATTACAGAATAGAGCTCATTGACTTCTCATGACAAAAAGAAAATTCATTCTGATCTGCCAGAATCTAGAAAACCAGAAATCGATGCGTTATTAAGAATTTTTTTCTTGGTCAGGCCAATTCTTTGGCCATAGGTTCATGCATATTCTGGTGAAATTTTGTTTCTCAGTGAATTCTGTTCCCATAGCCAAATTAAATGTAGAATTGAATTTGATTGGCTCTGAAAGCCACAAAGGCCAATTCTTTGTGAAAACCCCTAATTAAATTAATTAAAGTGATACAGGACAACTTATTTGCATCTCACTGAGTCACAAAATTGCTAGTTATATCAATACCCATTCCTCACAAGACAGAACTCTGTTGCCCTACATTCTACAATAGTTCCAATGGGTTTGTCTCTTGAAGGCACTGCTTATGAATATGAGAAAGTGATTCAATGAAAGATTTTTCGGTAGCATTTCAGAGCGCAGGCACATAGAAATATAAACGTCCAACGAGCACAATTCACCCGAACCAACCAGCTAAGAATTACTCTTGTCTGAGTCTCATTCATCGAAGTGTACATCTGTGTAATCTAAACGACAGGAATACAAAATTCAAAGGCATTTTTGCAGAATCATTTTGTCAAGGGTGCAAGGGTGTGGAAAATTATTTACTGGGCGTTAGTTTTTTGCTTTCGATTTGAGTGAAGTTTGTGTTCTTGTTTCACCACGCGGTTTGGTACACTTCGCCACTGATCAAGACGAGCGTTTCTTGTGGACAAGGAATTCAGCTCAACTGCAATCAACTCAAGCATTTGAATCAATTCAAGCGACTTACAAAAGAACTTGAAATTCGAATTTGATTCTACCCAAGAGATTGAACAGGTCTGAACAGGTCTGAACGGCGTACTGATCAAGTACATCTAAAATTAGCACTCACTATAATGGCTAAATTATAATTAGAGATAGCTGGGTAAGTTTAAAGAAAGCACTACACAACAAGTTAGAAGAAAACACTACACAAATCCCAAAATACCTTCGTGAAAGAAAACAAGCTCCTACTTCTGTGTCACTTGAGGCAAATAATCAGACTGAGGACAAGTAGGGATTTTTACTGGATTCTGACGCAATATACAAGCTATCACAAGCTTGTATATTGGTACCTTGTGCAAGGTTAGTCCCAGATCAACACCGTCGAAAAGCCCTGGGTGCGACTGAGGCGGTAATTTGTGGAAGATCATTGGTTTGTGTTGCGCGACCAAAGAGTCTCCTATGGTTTTGTCGGTTGTTTTTTATGAAATCAGTGTAGGTTGCGAAAAGATAGTACCAGTTTCGGGATCATTTTGAAGTAATGCAAAATTTCTAAGAATGCGTGATTGTTAGGGTGAAAGTATAATTTAGAGCCTCGACATATTAGGCTTTGTGTGAAAGTTGTCAAGAGCTTATGGTACGGAGGAAGGCTGGTTCCATTGTTGTACAAACAAAAAAAGGCTACCACATGGAAACAGAAAGGCTTAAACGGTTTTAACGCCCTCAAGCAAATTTCTCAACAGTTTAAAAAGGACGAGAATAATAGAAACATTGAGTGATACACTTTTTTACGGCGACAAACGTACGTAAACTGTGGATCCATCCTAATCACAGAATAGGGACTTTAAGCATCGATGACTTTGGGTGTCACGGACGTTCGATCGTTTGCAGGAGGGGGAACCTGGGAACGACGTTGTCGCCACCGGCGTTCGTGACATGATTGCGTTAAGCAAAACAATTACGCTAACTTGCAGACGTAGTCGGTCGACCGTGAAAGTGTAAACACATCCTTTGTGTGGTCTCGATCTTGACGATGTCTACTTTAAAGGAAGCTCGAGAAATGCTCTCTCTAGCATGGAGTCATCATTTTATTTCCGAAGAAGAATTTTTATTGCTGTATGAATCTAGTTTCTCCAGAAATCTATCATTTCCTCACGCCGACTACGATCGTTTTGATCTCGACTCTATGGACGAAGCAGAGTGCTTTCATGAGTTTCGAGTAAGAAAAATGGACATTGTCAGACTTGCTGATGCCCTTGGATTGCCTGCGAGTCTGTGCTGCCACCAACGAACAAAGGCCAACCGCGTAGAGGGACTGTGCATGTTGCTAAAACGATTAGCATACCCATGTCGTTTGGGTGACATGATCCACAGATTTGGACGGGCAGTGCCAGAGATAAGCATGATCACGACACGTTTTGAGAAGTGGATTTTCGACCATCATCACGCCAAGATCACAGAGTGGAATGACCAACTCCTCAGCAGAGACAAACTGCGAGTGTACGCTGATGCCATAGCTGACAAAGGGGCAGCACTGTCCAACTGCTTTGGATTTGTCGATGGCACAGTGCGGCCTATTTGTAGGCCAGGCCAAGACCAAAAAATAGTTTACAATGGCCACAA